AAACTCCAGCTTTACAAGGCAAGTCTTCCACTACCATAGGCCAAGATATGCACCCAAATGTTGACTCTCCTTTTGTTAGGTATGGCTCATAAATATACCAGTAAAGAGGACAGGAGATGGAGCGGAGTGAGCGAAGCGAACATCAACTGTCCTTACAAAGAAAGTCTCGTTGTGGGGTTACGAATTATGTGGGTTGGGGTGCGGGGGCGTAGCCCCGCGGTACGGTACAGGGTTAATTTTGTAATTATGTACCAGGGTTTTCTATTATAAATAGAGATGTAACCTAGACCTAAAATATCATTGAATAAAAACTTCTAGCGCCGCCTAGGCACCGAGGACGTAAGCACATTGCCGAACCTCGTAAAATTCTCGTGTTCTTTTGTTTTCTTTACCCGTTTTCGTCAACAATTGGTATCAGATGTTAGGAGCAAAATTCGAAGTCGCGAAATTCGATGGTCAGGGTAACTTCGGATTATGGCAAACGAGGGTGAAGGATCTATTGGCGCAGCAAGGGATCTTGAAGGCTTTGCGATCTACAAAGCCGGCGTCGATGGATGAGGAAGATTGGGAAGAATTGCAGCAGCGAGCGGCAGGAACCATACGATTATGCTTGGCGGACGAGGTCATGTATCACGTCATGCATCTATCGTCTCCAGACGAAATTTGGAGGAAGTTGGAAAGTCAGTTTATGTCCAAATCCTTAACGACAAAACTGTATCTGAAGCAGCGGCTGTATGGGCTGAAGATGCAGGACGATCACGATTTGGCGCAACACGTGAATGTCTTCAATCAAATCGTTTCTGATCTGGCTCGGCTTGATGTGAAAATTGAGGATGAAGACAGAGCGATGATTCTGTTGTGTTCGTTGCCTCCCTCTTACGAACACATGGTGACTACTCTTACATATGGGAAAGAGACTATCAATGTTGAGGAGATTACTGCAGCCTTGTTGGCTCACAACCAGCGAAAGCAGAATGCAGGGGAAAGCTCTCAAGCCGATAGCTTATATGTCAAGGGTAATCGAGATCGTGGACGGAAGCCAGAGAAGGCAGGGTCCGGGAAGCGGAATTCCAGATCCAAATCCAGGGATAAGAAGACGATTCACTGTTACAAGTGCAAGGAGGCGGGACATATGAAGCGAGACTGTCCGAAGTTGAAAAAGCAGACTGATGAGAAGCGTGATGGCTCATCCAAGTCTGTGAACGTGGTCGAGGATGATAATTCTGATTGCAGTGAGGGTGATATGCTTTCTATTTCAACGACACAATTGACGGATGCTTGGATTCTTGATTCTGGATGTTCTTATCATATCACGCCAAATAGGGAATGGTTTTCGACATACAGGCCGGTTAATTCTGGTTCGGTTTATTTGGGTGATGATCGATGTTGCAATATTGTTGGTATTGGTGATGTCAGAATTAAGATGCACGATGGCTCCGTTCGGACGTTGAGTGGTGTTCGACATATCCCAGACTTGAAGAAGAATTTGATTTCCTTGGGCACTTTGCACAAGAATGGTTTTATCCCTAAGGCTGACGAGGATAGGGAAACCATTCGGATTGTTAAAGGAGCATTGACTGTGATGAAAGGCAAGATGACTGCAGGGAATATCTACAGATTGTTAGGGAGTACCGTTGCAGGTGGAGTTCACTCTGTTGAGTCCTGTGATGATACGACAAAATTGTGGCATATGCGCCTTGCTCATCTTAGTGAACGTGGTATGGCAGAATTACACAAGAGAAACTTGTTGCATGGTGTCAAAAGCTGTAAGCTCGACTTTTGCAAGTATTGTGTTCTTGGTAAACAGACTAAAGTCCGTTTCAAGACTGCGAAGCACACAACTCAAGGGATTCTTGATTATGTGCATTCTGATGTATGGGGGCCTTCCACGACATCGTCTTTGGGTGGATCTAGGTACTATGTTACTTTTATTGATGATTTTTCACGGAAAGTTTGGTGTATTTTTTGAAACAGAAATCTGAAGTTTTTGAGAAGTTCAAGCTGTGGAAAGCTGAGGTAGAAAACCAAACAGGACGAAAAATCAAGTGTTTGCGGTCTGACAATGGTACGGAGTACACAGATTCACAGTTCCTACAATTCTGTAAGGAGCATGGGATTCAGAGGCATTTTACAGTGCGCAAGACACCACAACAGAATGGTGTTGCGGAACGAATGAACAGGTCGTTGAATGAAAGAGCCAGATGTTTGCGGTTGAATGCGGGGCTTCCCAAACACTTCTGGCTGAGGCTGTTAACATGGCGTGTTACCTTATCAACATCGCCAAGGGCATCGCTGGCTGGGAAAGTTGCAGAAGAGATATGGACTGGTCATGATGTTAGTTTTATAACTTACGGATTTTTGGTTGTCCTGCTTATGTGCATGTACCTGCTGATGAGAGATCCAAACTTGATGCAAAATCGAAGAGTGCATTTTTCTGGGTTACAAGAAAGGTGTCAAAGGATTCAAGTTCTGGGATCCAGTTGCGAAGAAAGTTGTGATTAGTAGAGATGTCGTTTTTGATGAACAATCCATGTTGCAGCAGAAGCAAGACACGACAGTGGTGGATTTCGAGCAGTTTCCAGTTGAGAAACCAGAAACTTCTCAACCGACTTCTGGTGGTTCCACTACGGATGATTTGCAGGATTATAGTCTCGCCAGAGACAGGGTGAGACGGACGAATATAAAGCCTCCGAACAGATTGGGTTTTGAAGACTTGGTATCTTTTGCACTTACTGTTAGCAGTGATGATCCAGTTACTTTTCATGATGCCGTTACTAGTCAGGAAAACGACAAGTGGATGGCAGCCATGGTTGAGGAGATGGAGTCTTTGAATCACAATCGCACATGGGAGTTAGTTCCCCTTCCTGAGGGTAAGAAGCCGATTGGTTGCAAATGGGTGTATAAGAAGAAACCAGCAGCAACAGAAAAAGAGGGGGAGAAGTTCAAGGCTCGTTTGGTAGCGAAGGGTTTTTCACAGCAGAAAGGAGTTGATTATGATGAAATCTTTTCTCCTGTGGTCAGCACACTTCAATCCGAGCAGTACTTGCATTGGTGGCTAGTTGGGATTTGCATTTAGAGCAGATGGATGTTAAAACTGCTTTTTTGCATGGTGATTTAGAGGAGCAGATCTACATGCGGCAACCTGAAGGTTTCACTCAACCTGGAAACGAGCATTTAGTTTGTAGATTGAAGAAATCTTTGTACGGGTTAAAACAGTCTCCGAGACAGTGGTATAAACGGTTTGACTCCTATATGATCAAGATTGGCTACAACCGATGTGAGTATGATTGTTGTGTCTATGTTAAGAGCCTTGATGATGGTTCTTTTATTTTTCTATTACTGTATGTTGATGATATGTTGATTGCTGCGAAGAACATGGATGATGTTATCGGTTTGAAAACTTTATTGAGTCAGGAATTTGATATGAAAGATTTAGGTGCTGCAAAGAAAATTCTTGGAATGGAAATTTGCAGGGACAGAGACTCAAGGAAACTGCGGCTATCTCAACGAGGTTATGTTGAGAAAATGCTAGAAAGGTTTGCAATGAGCAGCGCAAAACCAGTTAGCACTCCATTGGCGAATCACTTTAAGCTCTCATCAGAACAGTGCCCCAAGACAGATAAGGAAGCTGAAGATATGGCAAAGGTTCCGTATTCTAATGCTGTTGGCTGCTTGATGTATGCGATGGTATGTACTGTCCTGATTTAGCTCATGCTGTTAGTCAAGTTTGTAAGTACATGTCTAAACCTGGTAAGCAACATTGGGAAGCAGTCAAGTGGATCTTTCGGTACTTAAAGGGTACTGTGGGACATGGAATTGTTTTTGGGAGTCAGCGGGATAATCCTTTGGTTGTAGGATATGTGGATTCAGACTATGCAGGTGACTTGGATAATAGAAGATCTACGACAGGGTATGTCTTTACTCTTGGTGGAGGGCCTATTTGTTGGAAGTCTATTGTTCAATCTATTGTGGCTCTATCTACAACTGAAGCTGAGTACATGGCAGCGGCTGAAGCTGCAAAAGAAGCTTTATGGCTTACTGGTTTAGTGAAGGAGTTGGGTGTTCAACAAGGTGGAGTTCAGTTGCTTTGTGATAATCAAAGTGCTATTCACTTGGCTAAGAATCAGGTGTATCGTGCTAGAACTAAACATATTGATGTAAGGTTCCACAAGATCAGAGAGTTGGTTGCATCTGGAGAGGTTTTGTTTCAGAAGGTACATACTGATGAAAATGCCGCTGATATGTTCACTAAGCCAGTTACGACAGACAAGTTCAAGCATTGCTTGGACTTGTTGAATGTTTCGAGTTGTTAAAGAATCAAGGTAACCCAACCCACATTGAATTTTCAAGAGGCAGGATATTCGCCAAGGTGGAGATTTGTTAGGTATGGCTCATAAATATACCAGTAAAGAGGACAGGAGATGGAGCGGAGTGAGCGAAGCGAACATCAACTGTCCTTACAAAGAAAGTCTCGTTGTGGGGTTACGAATTATGTGGGTTGGGGGTGCGGGGGCGCAGTCCCCGCGGTACGGTACAGGGTTAATTTTGTAATTATGTACCAGGGTTTTCTATTATAAATAGAGATGTAACCTAGACCTAAAATATCATTGAATAAAAACTTCTAGCGCCGCCTAGGCACCGAGGACGTAAGCACATTGCCGAACCTCGTAAAATTCTCGTGTTCTTTTGTTTTCTTTACCCGTTTTCGTCAACACCTTTTTCAGTCTCGATTTTTATCTGAAATTATGGAATGCATCAACATATTGCCATTTGTTGAGGCATACCATGAAACATATTTTTTTTTTGGTGTGTGTGTAGGTAGAACTAAATCCGGTACGTGACATGGTTATAGACATATCATGCCTGGATATGAATCTCGATTTGAGGTTGTTGATGACCCACAAGAGAATCTTAACTTATATGACTGTAAGTTAGTTTGGATTCTTTTAGTCTCTAAGGACACTAGTTTTATCAGCTCACTTATTTCGTTTACTCTTCAGGAAGATGAGATGCAAAGCATTCAAAATCTGATTGATTCAGCAGTCCTAGACCCAGAAGTGAAAGGTGGATTAAGATGGCCCTTCGGAAAAGCATCAAGTGGGAATAGATACAATGTCGTTGGTGTTTGGCACACAATGACTAGTGCTTATGAAACTCATCCATAAGACTCAAGGTACGACATGCCGACTGTTTTGATTTCAAAACTACATACGGGGAAGCATCAGAGGAAGTTTACTTGAAGTTGAAAGGAATCCTTTCAGGACTGACGGTACGCAGCACTGCTTTCCAATTTCCCCATTTCATTAAACGACCCCGAATTTTATCATGCAACGTTTAGACATATTGCTCGAAGACAGATATGATTATGTAACATTACTTTCAATTTTGTTTTCAGGAGCAGGATGTTGAAGAAGTGATCTTGGACAAACTTAAAGACAACTTAAGTTTGATATGGCAACACTTCATGAGCTGTGAACCTTTTCTAACCTAAAAGAATCATGATGAGGATCTTCCTCTTTTCACTTAAAATGCTCACTTTCTCTTAGCTGTGTTGTTTCCGGATTTTGTTGTAAAACGATAGTAATAGTTTGATCATGGCAAGCATCAACTAGTGATATGCCACAGTGTGCGTGTATATGCTGTTTTCAAGTATTGTGGAAAGTAATAGTCTGGTTTTGTTTTCTTCCTTGGTTGCAGTTACTACATATGTTGTTTCACTTTCATTTTCGATCAAAGTTTGTGTAAATTTAAGATATATCCATCTTTATATCATTCAAAATCAATTTAAAATTTCTCAATTTTGCTTTGATAAGTAAACTATGCAGCCATTGGGTTTGGACTAATTTGTCAAAGCCATACTTAAAATAGAATAGTACTCGAACCAGTTCAGTTTAAAAGTCCGAACTTGGCCACCGTCTGGACCGTTGTTTAAGATACAAAGACACCATTTGTTTCCTCGAAGTTTTCACTTCCAAAAGCATTCATTTCTTTGACTCAAACTCTCATCTCCCAGATTTCACTCAAATGAAATTCGGTCTCTTTTTAAACGCAAACCCCAAAGCGAACACTTCAGTTCCCTTCGAAGTCAAAAAACCAATTTTTCTGGTTGAAATCACCCGTTTCTGTAAAACCCTTTACTTGCTTCATCCCACTTTGCTCGTCCAATCGTTCTACCAATTCAACTTTGAAGATTACATCTTTCAAGGCCAGTGGATTCCCCCAGACATCAAAGATCAATATTGGAGAAGAATCTAATGAAAATTACAATGTGGGAGTTGGGAACCCAATTCTCCCAACTTTCATTTCAACTCAAAAGACGAGCTTGAGTGATCAGGCCTTCTATCTGTTGGCCTTTATTGCTTGTACGGTATGGTTTTTGAGGTTACTGTGTGCTTTGGGTAGTTTTTCTTTCTGGATTTCCTTTTTAGGAGCTTTTTATTGCAAATATTTTCTGTTTTCTGTGGAATTGCTTTTACTTAGATATTTAAGAATGTTTGAGAAAAATGATTGCTTTATATGATTGATTGTGGCTATGGGTTTAGTACATGTTTAGCATCTTCTTTGTAGTGGTGTTTCTAGCTTGCTTAGCATATTTTTGGGGCTAATGATTGCGAACTAAATAGATTTTGTTGATGCATATCAGGAAGAATTTAAGTGTTTGGTGTTGAAATTTTCCATATTGATTTGTTCATTATATTGTCTTGAATGGTACCAAGTATCAAGCAATATGTTTGATGTTAAGATTTTCTGTTTAGCAATCACTTGTGTGCATGCAGGCATCTGTGGCGTTTACAAGTATGGTCATTGCAGCTGTTCCAACTCTCGTTGTAAGTTTTCGCACATTGTATCTGTCCCTCGTGAGTCGAACTGTCAAGATTCACAGGACAATTCAAGCTTGTTCAACCAGATTGTGATGTGATTAAGTGTGGTCTGCAATTTATATGTTTATTTCTTTTTGTTTTGCTGGTTTTGCTGGTTTTGCAGGCACTGGGAAGAGCCGCGGTTTCTCTTTCCAAGCTAGCAGATACAGCGCGAGAGGAGCTTCTCGGCACCATGGAGGCTCTCAGGCTCTCAGGCATGGAGATCAGTGATCTTACACTCGAACTAAGTGATTTAAGGTGACAATCGAATTCTGATTTTCTTGGAACTGAGACATAATTTTTAAAATCGACCGCGACATTCTGAATCATATTGGGAATCTTTCTCCCATCTAGGATGAAAGGTTCTCATTTCTTTTTCATGTTCGCATAACTTTTATGGTCTTGTGTATAATGCTTCAATTTGCTACTTTGGCACATAGCCAAGAGATTGCAGATGGTGTCAACAAATCGGCTAAAGCTGTGCAGGCCGCTAGAGCTGGAATTCGGCAGATCGGTTCACTTGCTCGCCAGCAGACAATATGTAAGTCCAAAAGTTACTCTTGAACCTCCCCTCCCCCTTTATCCTGCAACCCTGAAATCGAAGGCTTGATACCGATTTCTTTTATCCAGCGATCATACAAAAACGGGCTAGTTTGCCTGTCATCTCTTTACAGCCTGTTGTTGCAGGGGCTGCCAGAAAAACTTCTCATGCTGTCGGTCAAGCCACAAAGGCTATAATGAATATGATAAATCAAGGAGATTTGAGCTCGGAGAACGACGGCGATAACAGCAATGACGGGTGATGTTAGACTGTAGTACTACACAATGGAAACCGACCCTCCCAACTCCTTTAACCTCAGCCTTGTCAAGGATTTTGTATATGCTGCAATTCATGAGCTTGTTGCACTTGCTATGTTCATTTGTTTTAGAGATGGAAAACTAGGTAAACTAAACCATGTTTTTGACAGATTTAACTTCTCTCTGTGTGACTTTGGCGTGGGGGATAAATGTTTGATGACGAGAATTAAGTTATACAATATTTATTATGAGTTTATTATTTATTATTAAGTTTTTTACTGGAAATTTACCATTTGTTACAAAATCATTTATCGAATTAATTGTTTATGAAAGAATTTCTTTTGCTAATACGAACAATTAAATTTAAACAAAAATTCGAATGATTTAACTTACTTTAATTCAAAAATATTTAAATGAAATTTAAATTATATAATAAGACTTGTTAACTTGATTAATTTAAAAAATTTACTAGCTCGATTTAATACTCACATTTATTAAGAATAAGTTTGATAAATTAAAGGGCAAATTACATAATTTCTCACTGAATTTTACTCTCTTTCATATTTTGCTCACCGTACTTTCAATTTTTCTAATTTCTTCATTGAATTTTCGAATTGTACGTATTTTTCTCACTCTGAACTATTTTATTATTATTTTTGTATGATGTGGTATTTATTATTATTATTATTAAAATATAAAATAAAAACAATGTCCACTGTTCGTTGGCTTTGGATGCCACCATCAACCACCATAAATGATGATCGTTTGGTCCTAGATTTCATGGGTCGCTTCGTCTCGGCCCTCTGAGTCTAAATATGGTGGTTATTTCACAAGAAAATATCTCAAAACTCATGAATCTCGACGGAAACATTTCGGTTTCCTCACTTTTGATCTCTAGTTCATGGACTTCAAAATACATTTTCGACAAAATGGAGGTTGGATTCAGACTCGGGGGATCGAGGCGAAACGGCCCATGAAATTTGGGTCCAAAATGACCACCATCTACGACTATCGACGGTGGCATCTAACGCCGATGAATAGTGAATGACCACCGCTAATTTTTATTTTACATTTTAAATTATTTTTATATTAAATAATAATAAAAAATGGCACATCATATGAAAATAATAATAAAATAATTTGGAGTGAGCAAAACAGAATCAATCTTAAAGTTCAGTAAGGAAATTAAAAAAATCGAAAGTACGATGAGCAAAATAAAAGTGAGAGTAAAGTTCAGTGGGTAATGATGTTTTTTACCCTAATTAAATCAATATTATTTTTTTATATAACTATCGATAGAGTGAGCTCCTAACTATTATGTCTGGGTGCGAGGTTAAGGTTTGAAAGAAGGCTAACCCAGTTTAAATTATTCTTCTTTTATATGATCTGACATTCCCAGTTAAAGAAAGCAAGAAGGGATTGGATACGTAAAAGGTCTAGTTTCCACACATTGTCTTATCCTAATTTTACTTGTCCACGAACTGCTAAGTTTCACACGTATCAGCTGTATGTGCAACCATCATGCACAGCAGTAGTCATGCACAACAATTCATTTACACTAACATTGCCTGCCTGCACCCTTCTACTTTATAAATCATGCCCAACATTTAAACAAGCAGAAGAACCCACCATTTTTAACCTTCTCTCCATTTAGTTAAGGTCAGTTCTGTTCTCCCTTACTATTCAAAAGAAATCACCTTTTCTTTAATTTGTTTCTCCTTCTAAGTGATAGTTGTAAGTTTTTTGGATTGAACGACGCAATATATTTTGTTCTCTGAACTAGGAAACTTGGATATTTGTTGCTTAGTCTTTTCTTGCTGGGAAATGGATATGATTCATTAAATCTGTTTGGTAGGGAAATGGGTTTTATTTCTTTTGAATGTTTTGCTTCTTTTGTTCATTTCTTTTGACTTTTAAGTAACGGAGGTAAGAGAGAGAGAGTTCAACGTGATCGTTGTGAACAAATACTAATAGGTGATTGCTTTTTATATTTGCTCAAAACAACATAGTGTTGGACTTTGAAGTTTAATCATAAGGTTTTTGTTTGATTCTAACATTTGTACTCTAAGAATCTGAATCTATTCCTTTGAATCTCTCCTGCAATAATTGCAGAACTTATCATAAATGTAGCTTATTGATTTGTTTTGTGTGATCAGGTTGTATGTTAAGTTGAGGTCCTGAAATATGGCAGAAGCTGCTCGTCTAATATGCTTCTTCCACGGTGAAAGTGTTAAATTTCCATGCAGAACATCGGGATTTACTCGTAACGAAAGGTTTCGCCGGAGGCCAATAGTTCACGGCGTAGTGCTACTGAAAATTCAATCTAGTTGCAGAAACTCAAGGTACTCTCAGTTAATTAAGCCGAATAAGGATTATTCTGCGTCAAGGTACTTTCAGTTAATTAAGTCGATTCAGAAGCTGCGATAGATTGTTTCGCAAGTAATTCAACCATTTCAATTGCATACATTTGTTTTGTTAGGAAGCTTATATCTCTATAATTTACATGGATGCTCAATCAGTTCCACGAAATAGGATGAGATCGGTTGGCCAAAATATTGAATCAGCTTTCTGTTTCATCAATGATTTGTTTTTTAAACTTAGGGTGTGTTTGATCCGATGTTTGATAGTTGTAATTTGTTTTACGTAAAACATTTTTCAGTGTTTGATAGGTATAATTGATTTTTCTAATGTAATTCATTTTCCTAGTTCTTTTGTATTTTCTGTAAAATGTTTTATCATTTGATTTTCCGTAAAATATTTTCCTGACTTTAAAGTGTAGAAGCACTCAAAAATTATATTATTTTATTTATTTAATATTTTAGTTTCATTTTAATAAAAATATTTAATATCATTATAATATATTTTTAATATTATTTAAATTTGCACTCAGATATATTATAATAATATATAATGTTTAATAATTTAGTATTATATTAATAAAATAATAATAACTAAAATTAAGAGTGTTCAAACGGTGAATTCGGTCACATATTGAATTGAATTACCAACCAAATTAACTAAAATTTTTTTCTTAAATAGTTAATCAAATCGATTTTTTAAAATATTAATCGAACCAAACTTTATACATTTTGTGTAAATCATTTTCTATAAAATTAATTATAGTGTATAAAATAATTAGTAAAAATGGTTTTCACAAAATCATCAAAACATCCTAAAATATTTCCCAAAAATTATTTTTCAGAAAATGTAATTTATTTTACAAAAAAAATTTAGTAATTCATTTTACGTAAAATAATTTTCATGTAATTCATTTTACGTAAAACAATTTTTAAGTAATCCATTTTATGTAAATTATTTCTCAAAAAACTAATTACAGTTTATCATACGCTTAATCTGCAACAAAGATATAAAGCAAAGAGTAATAATGTGTGACATACCAAACGCCTAACATGTATAAAAGCGCTAATGAAAATAATAATATATTCAGGGTAAACTATACCACAGACCACCTAAATATATCACATTTTTATTTTGACCATCATTTTTTAATTCTTATCAATCAGGCCACTCAACTATTTAAATGCATTTAATTAGGTCACTTGCCGTTAATATTTAACGGAAGTGTTGATGTGACAATTAATAAAATTGGTATAATTACATATTTGGTCACTGTTACTTATATATTATCTCAATTTGATCCTAAATTTAATAAATTAAAATAAATTTAATATTCAAATCTGACCATGTCACGTGCCACTAATATCAAATATCATGACACATGTTACCACCTGATTAGAGGATTTTAATTTATTTTAATTTAATATATTTATTTTTTACCAATTAGAGGGTGACACGTGTGGCCCTCTCGTGTAAAGAAAATTAAGAGTGGTAAAGGAGCACAAAGGATTTTAACCAGTAATCATTGGGGGAGAAGGGAGGAGTCCAACCACTAGGTCAAGTTCATTTTTTTGTTTAAAGTAGACTACATATTGTATATATATCTTGTTTCATAATATGATCTTAAATTCTTAATCATAAAATATTTTTTATCTTAACTTAAATATTTAAATTTTATTCTTATAAAATTTTAAAATATATTTTCAATAAATTAAGAAAAAAAATAATAAAATATATATTTTTATAGTTAATAATTTAAACATATATTTTAAATATATATTCTTAACTTAAATAATAAGTTTGGCCTAATTTAAACCAAATATATATATATTATATACATTAAGAAAAAAATAATAAAATATATATTTTTATAATTAAGAATTTAGATATTTTAAATATATATTCTTAACTTAAATAATAAACTTAAACACACACATATATTCGATAAATTAAGAACATAATAATAAATATATATTTTTATAGTTAAGAATTAAAATATTTAAATATATATCCTTACTTCAAATAATAATCTTGGCCTACTTTAAACCAAAAAATATATATTCAATAAATTAAAAAAATAATAAAATGTATATTTAAGATTATACTAAAAAATGAACTTGGCCTAGTAGTTAGATTTCACTCTTCTCCCCCAATGATTATTGGTTCAAATCCCTTGTGCCCCTTTACCACTCTTAATTTTATTTTCATCTTATTGGTTGCAACTAAATATATTATATTAAAATAAATTAAATCCTCCAATCTGGTGGTGACACGTTTTATGATATTTGATATTAATAATATGTGACATGATATTTTAATTTACCCTAATTTTTGTGTATTATGCTATGTGTTCTCTCCCCCGAGTCCCCACAGCACCTTCTTCACTCAGCATGAGTCCCTTAGTCTTCCTCCTCTGCATGCATTTTCATTCTCTTCTAGATAAGTGCTTCGTCAACAAGGATGCTTCCTTGAGAATTAATATACTTTATATTTTACTTGGTAATTGCTTTCTTAAAAATATTTATATATTTCAGATTTTTTATATTTTTAATTAAAAATATATTTTCATTATTCTAAATTTTTATAAGTTTATTATACCTTAAATTTTTTATAAATACGTTTCTTTAACATAAAATCTTATATTTGTGTTGAAAGATACTATGACATCAGCATATCTTGTCTTATGTAAGAGAAATATGTCATTTAACCCCGAGAAAAGCACTTTTTATAAATATTATATATTTTTATGTATATTTTGGGAACATTAAAATAAAATTTTGAGATTTTAGAAAAATTAGTGATCAAAATGATATGAAGGGAATAACTTAAGAACTAATGCTGTACTTTTTCCAAAAATAAA